TTTTAACGTCTCACCTATGGGGTGCTCGCCGAAAACCAGCTATAACTAGTAGCCATACTAGCTGCTCAGTAGTTGGCTTCAACCAATGAGCTTTTCAATGCAATGTATATGGGACATCGGATGGTTTGCTAACTGCGACACCCTCTCACACCAGCTCTTGCCCCTACAAGAAATCTCGCGCTCTCTCGAGGCCCATCGAGTCAGTTGCACCGTAATTGTACAGCTCCGAGTACCCGGGAGTACGACATATTCCGCCGCTGTGTGATTCAACCGTTTGAGTACTCCTTTGAATATGATCGGTATTTCTTTATTCTCAGCAAGTAACATTACGTTATCCTAGCATTCAGCTAAAGTTCTTGTTTGCAGCTTGTAGATTGCGCCAACGAAGCAAAGCGACAACAACTGGTTTAGGCTGAAAGATGCTATATGGTATTTAAAGTCGGAAATACGGCATTAGTATTCGCATCACGCTCGAGATTCTATCCGGAGATAACTGTTTCAAAGTATTTTACTGAAAATGCTGTCGTCATTTCCCTATCTGTTTTTTTTCTTCGAAGGAAAAATGTAATTGAACTTCTTCAGACGTCGACGACGTGGGCGAGGCGTCAAGTGATTGAGCGCATGGGCTGGTGGAGCCGTGTCTGTAGCATCCAAACTTGCACGTGTACTGGCTCCACAACGGAACGCCTCCTAATGAATGGTACGAAGTCTTTGAGCTTGAGTTCTTCATCATTCAGTTTACCCCTCGAAATTACTTTCGCGTGTCTTTCGATTCAATGCTGTGCATTAGAATCGATTCGATGCCCTCAATCACAGATGCTTTAACAGCACAGTTATGGTATTCCTAATAAAATATGACCGAGTTATGAAGACATTATGACCTTCTGCAAATCGTAATTGTCTAGTCGAAAAATATTCGAATCTTCGCGAATCGGTTCCGTCAACGTACCCGAATTGGCAACGCTGATCCTATACACATCGTGTTAACATCACTATACCCAACACCCTAGGGCACTATCACGCGTACTTCCACACTCGATGAACTCGGGCGTATTACTACCGTGTCGTGCATACATCACTGAAGTAGAGGCCAGCAATACGCGGCCACCAAGCAGCAACATTAGAGTACCCATTGGCAGTGAGACTCGCATCTAACGACCTTTTCTGTTCTACACGCTCCTTATGGACGGAACATAGCAGTAAACTTTTTTTTAATTGCTATTTGACTGATTGATGGATATTGTCAAATATATGAGAGAGATACTCGCAATATGTAAAAATTTTCGTTAGCGTTGAGATCTCTCCATAACTCGATAAACTTGGAAACTGGGAAGGCGTCTAGTAAACGAGTTGCAACAACCAAATCTAGAGTCATGTCTTTTAGCTGCACAATATACTATCACTAACCATGCTGAAAAGTGTTCCTCGGCTCCATAGATCGTAGCTGAACTACATACCTTCTTGGATCTAAGATAGCCAGCACCATTTTCCGTTTGATTTCAGTACCCCTGACTACCACTCAGTTGATTCGGATTCAATTCGTCCAGGGTCCAATTTTTCTATATCGGTACACCAGAGGATTCCTCCAGGCGCGCCCTGTTGTAAACTGCCATTACTTTATCTGAATGTAAAGAGCATCTGGAATTAGTGACCATTACGTGATAGAAATAACTGGATTGTTTTGTTGCCTATCAATGCTTCATTACCTATAGCATTCTATAAAGGTTCATTTCTTTATCCAGGAATAGAACGTGCTTCCTACTTGCGCCTCAACAACACCCTGTTTCTTGGCAAAGGAATTCAAGAACTTGAAGCACTCGGCCAACAAAGTAGTGATTTTGATAACGGCGGTCTTCGTCACAAATCTCCATAGGAAGTTCGCACCCATTTTCAATATCCGTACTAGAATTAGAGGCATTTACTGACTGAAAAGTCTAAATAAGGAGTTCAATGGTTTCTCGTAGTAAACAATCGTTTATAGGCTTCATGTGCACACCGGTACACCTTTACGATTATTTCTGTGATGTAACTCGTTTAGCATTTGTCGAAGAGTATAAAGAGAAAGTGTTATCGAGAGAAGCCCGAACTTCATCACCTTCCTCTCGAGTCCCGTTTGAGGGCATTCAAGAGGCGTAGGCCATTCCAACATTGAGGCGACTTTCCACCTGCGCAAGATCCTGGAATTGAAGGTTGGCTTTGACATCTCCAATTCACAGATCATTTTCTCAAAAGTCATAATTTCAGCTAGCTTGTGAAAAACGAACGTGCAGCCTTTGGGAGTCAGTACACAACACGTCATTTCAACACCCCGATCAACGAAGCTCGTTGCCTAGGGCAACTCATGGATATTCTCTTCAGCAATACGAGGACGCACAATGGTAACTATTGGATTTCGACCACATTGGCCATTTTTAATTTCGCTCTCCCTACTCAACTGGCCGTACATCTTAGCTACCGATAGAAGATGAGAGCAAGGTTCTTTTTCAAAAAATTTAGAAGATTTTTCGTGTTGTATAGCATGTTTCACACAAATGCTCAAAAACGCCGTGATTTGAGTATTCGAATATTTTACTGCACACTTCCGATGGAAAATTCTTGGGGCCTTTATTCCATATCAAAATCATCTCACACCCCTACGTTTTGCCCACCAACACCCAACCAAAAACAACCACACCACCCTCTCCCTTCCCCCAACCCCCGCACACACGATCGTCGCCCTCCCACGTCCCCCCCTAACAAAGCACATTGTTCCTTTTTCCCAATTTCGGGCAACGGGCGTGAGGAAGGGGGGGGGGGGGGTAATCTGAAGTAAATCGTGTATTGTCGATCTGGGCCTTATGGGGTTCTGTGTAGAGTGACATCGAAGTTATAAAAGTTATCAAAGATTGTGTTATCTCCATAAACAGACACAAAATTGGTGAGGTATCACTGATTCATCCCTTAATCACCTACGTTTTGGAGATTTCTAAAAGCTCAAAGTCTCATTAGCACGTGGTCTAAGCCGAAACTTTTAAGGCCAAATGGAAGAAATTAAAAATACTCATCACTCACTGATTAATTCAATATTAAGGAAGTTAGTTGTGGGAACTAAAGCTAAGAAGATGTCTGCGTCGATAATCCTCCAGAGATGCGTTATGCATTGAACTTCATCAAGCGTCGTTTGAGTTCGTTAGACACATAGTTGGCCTTTGCAATGACTCGTGATGGGCTGCCGATATGTCATGTCACTCTTGCTATACTTCACATAAGTCGGATACCCACCTATTCGTCGACTCAGAGAGATGGAAAGGCTTGGTGAACCTTGAATGCTAGATCAAACCATGGAATAGGTACTTGTCGCACCCCTCTTAGCACTGTGCTACGACGCTCCCTTTATGGGGAATTGTGAGCATAAATTGTATTCGTGGTCGTGATGAATCCAGACACTTTCTTAGTTCCTTTGTTCTACGCAGGTCATTAGGTCCTGATGTGAGATTCTACGAATCGTTTCTTGCGATTAGTCTTGGAGAGAAGATCCTAGATGTCATATTGTCGTAGGTGTTTTTTTCTGCAAAGATCAGGTATTTATATAATGCACCATCTTCATCTTCTTCGTTGTTTTTCTCTCGTAGAGGCATAAGTGACGAAAGCCGGCTGATGTACATGTCACGTTTCTTCATCTGTTTTTGATTAAGATCATTGAGTTAATAGAGGTATCGATAATCTTCAGAGACCATGATATTGCTGAGATTGCCAATTGAGTCATTTATTATTTCGTATCCCTGACAGAATTCTATGAGAGAACCATGAACGACGTATGGTTGATGGAAGCCTTACATCTCAGCAAATTCGACACAGTATCATTCGATCGTTTCCTGTAGATTGAAGTATCTCATGATCGGCAGAGTTATGCAATTGTCATCGTCGCGGTGCGCGATCGTAGCTCATCATCGTGGTATTTCGAGAACCCCACATCTAAGCTCTAACATCCATCTCTCCACCCATTCTCACATTCGAACTGCAATTTTGTTTGTCTTGGTTCGTCATCACTTTTTCAAGATGCGTTTCATTTCAAAAGAGGAACTAGGACTGCGGTTGAAAAGTATCCATAATTGTCTCCCACACTCCAGCAGCGGAGGCGTTCTCCATGAAAAAGAAGTGTTTTGTGGAAGATGTTAGAGTGCAATCAATTCTGAATCATTCGTTCCAGTCGCTCCTGTAGACTCGTATGGAAATGTAGTGTGTCCCTCGGCTTTGCTATTACATTATCCCTTAAGTCTTCAATAAAGTGCCCTAAGCTGAACCTCATAACTCTACGCTTAGAATAAGTGACCTTGCTGACCTTAGTAACCTTAACGCTCTGATAACGCTGGGGTTTCAATCAGTAATTCTGATAACCTTGCGCTTTTTTACATGTTGTGATAAGTATTATTAAATCTCTTCCAAGTGTACGTCATCTTGTATTTGTTTCATGGTTTTTCTTAATAAGGTGCAAATGGTTAACAATCTGTATCAGACTGTTCAGTCGTTATTCATTGTTTGAAGTATAACGTGTATAGAATTTTGGCGTTTTTTCTCAAATAGACCTAAAAGAATTTCGAATTTATAGTATGCCCAATATGTGGGGTACTGTGCAAAACCGTTTGCTTCAGCCGGGATTCGAACCCAGCTCTTTCCGGGAGCGTATGCTAACCATTGCAATACCGACTCTCGTTTTGCACAGCACTCTTATTTTTTATTGAATTATTCTTATTATTTCCTATTAAATAAGAGTGCTGTGCAAAACGAGCGTTGATAGTGCAATGGTTAGCATACGCTCCTGGAAAGAGTGAGATCTGGGTTCGAATCCCGGCTGAAGCATACGTTTTTGCACAGTACTCCACATATTGGATATACTATAACATCATACCACTGCAAGTGGCAGTCAAAATAAAAATAAATTAGACTGAATTTCGAAATTGCCGAGAGCCACTATCTACGAACTTCAGCGTTGCTTAGTTGCTCAGTAATTCAATAGGTTTTGCAGAAAACTACAATTCTCCGTAACGTCAGCTATTGAAATGAATTGTATCTTAACACTCTCGCGTTTTCGGCTCATAAAGAGAAAAGCTGACAAGGAAGAGCTGTGGTATATCTGAATGATACTTTAAAACGCTTTCATTTCCCTTTCTCGATGATTGTCCTTTGTGGTAACTATGAAATACGCGTTTTACATGGACCATATTGACGGCGTCTGTGTCGTTGCGAAACGGCAGTTTTTTTTTTCTTTGAAACTTGAATACTAATGACTAAAAACTGCAAATGAGTATTTTTCTGTTAGTCGGCGACACATGAATATTCGATCTCATTCCCTGAGCAAGAATTTTTTTCTTTGGGATTGTTAGTAATCATTCGGAAGCTTGAATTTCTGGCTAGAGCTGTACGTGGCTGTTTTTTGAGGCATCCTTGCATAATGCTGTAAAATCCAAAATAAAATTATGTTCCACACGACCACGTGTTTTTTTTCTTGTCTCGCTTATATTTCGCTAGAAAAAACCTTTTACTTAGACTGCTAGTACTCATTCAATAGCACAGGTTTCGAAGAACTCAAAAATGTGTCTGCTTCTTGGAAAAGCTCTTTTTGATAGTCATGTAGGAGAAAGAAAATATTCATGTTTTATACCTCATGGAACGGAGCTCTTCAGACTAGCAGTATTATTCGGTAGCGTAAGTTTCAGTGGTTCTGGCGCTGTGATTATCTTCTGGAAAGACCGTTTCACTGCAGTGTAGCAGGGAAAATAAGATCTAGTTCCACATATTCGGCAAGCTTGTTTACCGGCCCGCCTATAGTTGATTGGTCGATACCCTGACGGGTTAGACAAGGGGTGGATCTTGTTCTTCGATTGGGAATTTTTCTCCATTTGAAAGAAACTTCAGAGAAAACGATTGACTCAGAGACCACGAGATTTTCTTAACGTGTTCATATACTTTTCGTGCTTTCAGCGAATTACAAGCGTGATAAAAATGAAGGTACGCAGCGGGTGTGAAACATAATTTTATTTTGTATGCTACAGCGTTGTAAAAGGGTCTTTCCGAAAAATAGCCACGTAGGATTCTAGCCAGAGATTTAATCTTTCAAATGATTACTAGCACTCTTATGAAAAGTTCTTGTCCAACAGATGAGGTCGAATATACATTGTCGCCGTTTGACAGGAAAAACCTGCAAGTATTATGTTATATCGATTTCGTAGCAGTGTTACGATGTTATATAGCGCAGAGGTTAACAAGCGCCCCCCGGAAAGGTTTAGACGCGGATTCAAGTTCTGTCAAGGATCTTTGTCTTGGATATCATTCAGGAATCTTGGATATAAAGTCAGTAAATTGTAATATACGTCATTTAAATTCTTGGGTGCCACCCATATGAAATTTCGAAGTTTTTTGATGGATTTCGGGTGAATTTTCCAGTGAAGAAGTGGTATGTTTAACGATACATTTAATTACTTTATTTCTTTTTATCGATTTATATGATTGTACTTTGTGGTATCTATGACATTCCCCTCCCTATGTAGGTTGTTTGAAGTCGTCTAATTCGTTGCGGAACGTGTTGATAAGCGTTTAAGACACCCTCATATCACTTAGCTTTCTATGATGTTTTGCTCTGATGCAGTCAATATTGATGGTTCTTTCCCGATGTACTCAATTTAATGGCTTTTATTGCTGGCGACTTATTGGTGTTATGCCATTCTTATAGCTCATAAATTGTTCCTTTCGTGATTCAACTAGTATTTTGGCTATTTTGTTGACGTCTTCGTCTTTCTCCAATTATCAAAGTATCTATGCTTGATTGATGGTGTGGAGGCTGAAGGAAATTTGGGATTCTGTATTATTACTGTGCTTAGAAGCTCTGTTCTTCACCGGTTTCCAGCTGCTACTATCTCGCTATTTTCGTTGTGCTCTATCTGCCCCTAATTTTTTTCGATCTTTTCCAGATTGTGCATGTTCCATGCAGTTCAATCTCGTAGAAGCAATGGATCAGTGGCGACAACATCTTTTGGCTATCAAGCAGAAGACACCGGAAAAAGTAAGTCTCAAAGCGTTATTCCTTCTCCTTCTTCGGTCTTTTTTCTCTTTGCCATTTCTGTCAGATATTGAGTTTTACTGCTCCGTTTCATTCAAAATCTCTCAACAGTTCTGCTGCTTACCCAATTTTTTGAATAGTTTATATAAATTCTTTACTTTTCATCGTCCTCTACCTAGTCAATGTTGTGTTTTGAATCCAGATTTTTACTCTATGCTTCAACTTCGATTCTTAACTCGATGATAGACTCATTGTCTTTGATAGTTTCGCGGTAGGTCATTAAATACTGCAGTCTGTTTTGAACATAAAATGATTAAAATAGGCTCTCAATTATTCTTCATAGACTTTTCTTTCACACTCACCTATTTACTTGCGCTTGATCTTCTTGAGCTTGGAGAAGTAAATGACTCACTGACTCATTAATATGTTCATCTTACCTCGAAATTTAATAATGCTGAGTGATATGCAAAACTTTCAACCTCGGGCTGAAGCTGAATCCGTGTTTAACTCTTTCCGAAGAGCACGTTCTACATCCAGTAGCTGCCAGCGTATTTGGGTTCAGTGCCGTTATGTGCTTATCTGGCCAAACCTTTTACTGTTGGCTGCTGAGCCACTGATAGCTTCTATCGCAAGAGTGATAGCGGAACAGGAGCTATGGTAATGCAATAGTTAGAACAAACCCTCGGAAAGAATACAACGCGGGTTAAGCTCTCGCGCGAGATTCAAAATTTTGCATATCAACCAAAATTGCCGAATGTGTAATTATAACATCATGTCAGTGCTGGAGAAGTGCTTAAATATAAAAAAAAATTTTGTCAATTATATATATATTTTTTTGTTGGGAAAAGTAGTGTCAATTTCGGATTGTTGAGGTCTGCGGAATTCTCTCGTGAATAATAATCAATTGAAAGTGGTTGTTTTTATTTTTATTACGTCGTATTGTCATTGCCTTTTCTATCCTCTCATTAATTCTAGAGCTGCGCCGTTGATGCCATGCTAGAGGGAACATCTGGTGCTCATCAGTGGAACCAGGTTTCGTTCTTTTTATACATTATTGTCGCTTCAACTCATCATTGTATTTTTCCCATCGTTGTGATTTTAGATTGCAGTCCAAGTGCTACTTTTAATAAATGGTAACTCGATATTTTAGATGAATCATCATCGTCCAGCGTTCTGCAATTTTTGTCGAGAAAAGCTTTCTGGTTTGACTTGGCACGGGTGGTCTTGTGAAAGTGAATTTTGCACCTATTTCAACTTTTTTTTTCAAAACAAATTATGGACGATACGCGTTTGAACCACGTGTTTGTTTGAAGTCATCCTGGTGAAAGCACTCAATCTGTTGCTGCTGTAACGCATACCGAAGGATGCTCAATGATATGCAAAATAATTGACGCTGAGAGCCAGTTGAATTAACTGGGATCACCTTCGGCGAAAATGGAACGTCAATTAAACTTCCACTTGAGGTCGAATAATTTGTAAAACTCTCAGCATCTTTGGATAACGAGCTATATCAACATAGCACTGCCTAAGGAGCATCAAAATAGGAAATTCCTATAGGTTTTTCAAAACAATTGTTTTGGTTAGAACTATAATTTGAAAAAGGTTAAGTGATAAGCAAAACTCTGAAACTCAGGCGGGATTTGAACCCGCGTTTCAATCACTGCTTTGTCATTCTTTCTGTCGTGTTTCGGGTAGAAATCAAGGATCTTTTCCGCTACACAGCGACAAATGAATATTCGAACCTATTTGATGGGCAGTGACTTTTCATAAAGGTGATAGTGGTCACTAAAAAGCTGAAGCCTTGTATAGCGCAATATTTGACTTAAAATTTTCCGGAAAAACTTGTGAGGCGCAGTGGTTAGAGATGCCCTTCGGATAAACGTGGGTCGACGGTTCGATCTAGCACCCTTGGCTCTTTCAGCCTTCCATCCTTACGAGCTCGGCGACTTAGTATCAGACTTCTCTGAAGAGGTAACAGCACTGATCTTATACATCGCTAGGCTACCGCGAGGCATTGTAAAGGCCTTATATCCCTTACGTCAGCTCTAATGATGCTTAACGATGTTGATTGAATGGCATATCTTTCGGGGAGTAATCAATGCCTAGAGCTCTATCCTTTTTGGATGTGTGAATGCGACTTGTTTCTTTAAACCATTTTTCAGTATGTAAGATGAAAGTTCACAAGAAATGCATGGACAAAATTGTTGAACGATGCAAATGGACGGTCGAATGTACGATTCCCAATCACCTTCGTTACATTAATCCTGAGGTTAGCAATAATCTGGGTACCATTTTGCGTTTTCTAAATGCCACACTGACATAACAGATTGTCTTTTTGTTCTAAAACTTTAGTTTCTTTGTTTCTTTGTTTTTGTTCACCACTCAATCTCTTAGTCATATAAGTAACTAAACTTTAGTGTTAAGGAGTTATCTTGGTGTATTGATAAGCTGGCACAAAGTCGTTACGAAAGTTTAATATCAGACTTTTTGTGAGTACCTGTGGTGCATTGGTTAGCGATCCTCTGCACACACTGACGTGGCCGACCATTCGACAGACAATAGTTCGTTCCCACGCTTAAAGCTTACTAAGCTTTCCTTCTTTCCAGGATCTTTGAATCGATAGTAGACTTTACTGGAAAAATAGCAACACCACTTGGTACATCGCTAGACCACCACGAGTCATTGGAAAGACCTTATACGCATTCAGTCACCTCAAACAGTGCTTGATGAAGTCGAATGCTTGGAGTATCCCTCATACTGGTGAACGCCGAGAACTTCATCTTCTTATCCTTGCAATATTTTG